TCGGACGTCCCTTCCCTGTGCATTTCTCGGCGTCGCGCGCGCTCTGTTGGCCCGGTGGTCGAGGATGCTTCTCGATGGCCCCCGCCGAGAAAGAATGCACGCGTCCGAGCGATGCCAAGATGAGATCGGGCGAGGACGACCCGGGAATCTCTGAGACCAGGCGGCTCTGGAGGCTGCCTCGGGCGCCAGGGCCTTTCTCAGAGCGTTCCGCCCTGAGACCCCAGGATCTCCCTTCATTTTTGGTGCGGGAACGTCACGCTTTCCAAAGCGAAACCCAAGAAGCCCAGGGCACCCTGGAGGCAAGCAGGGTGCTTCTTGGCATGGGTCTCCACTCTTCTCCCGCCCTTTCCTCCCTCCTCTCCCCTCTTCTTCCTCTGGCGCCCGAGCAGCTGGCGGGGGTGACCTCCTCCGCGGCAGCAGCACGCATGGGCTACTTCCGTTTCCGCTCGCAGATCGGTGACTCAAAGATGTGGTCCTGAGGGATGGGGTCCTGAAGACAAGGTGCCTCAAACAACGTGAATCCGCCGACCCTGTCGGCGTGCGTGAGGGGCTTGTCCGATCAAGTCGTCATCTCCGTGATTCGTTGGTCGTCGTCTCTGTCGTCCCCTTTCCCTGCCTCCCCCTTTCCCTGGGCTCGTCGAAGCTCCCCCCTTTTCCAGGGACCTCCTCAGCGCACCAACCAAAGCGAGGTTGAGCAACGTCGTAATTGAGTCGAAGGGAAGCCCCTTCCCTTCGATCCCTTCATGTCCTTAGGATCTTCCAGCGATTCCGCCGTTTCCGTTACCCCATCCCTTCCTCCCAGAGGCTTCCACCGGCAGCTGATAGCACGGGGAGCTGGCAGGCAGGCCTGCCGAAGGAGCGTCCTCGCCCCTGCCTCCCACGTGACGCCGACGCGGCGGACACGGAGGGAGGGAGGGAGGGAGGGAGGGAGGAGGAGGATGAGGAGGAGGACGACGAAGAAGAAGAAAAATCATAAGAAGAGGGCGAAGAAGAAGAAGAAGAAGAAGAAAATAAGGAGGAGGAGGAGGAGGAGGAGGAGGAGGGAGAATGGAGGATGGAGGAAGATGGAGGAAGAGGAGGAGGAGGAGGAGGAAGGAGAAGGCGAAGACGGGGAGGAGGTGGAGGAGATGGAGGAGGTGGAGGGAGGGAGGGAAGGAGGGAGGGAGGGAGAGGCTACGATACAGTCAACCCGTATCTCAAGGATGCGCGGTAAGGATGCAAGGGCCTTGGGGGCTCATGTGAACGCTTTTCGAACGAGGCTGGCCAGCGAAGGTCGCTAAGGATGGGCCGAAGACGCAAGGATTCAACGGGTACCCTTTGAAGGTTGCCCATCCTTTCTGCGCGGGTTGACAGCAGGGGGGGATGGGCATAGGGGGGGGGATGCATCGACCTCGAAAACGACTGCACGAGCCACTGCGTACATTATTGAGCCCCCGTTTGCAAGTTTCCCATTCGCCCGAATCTGAACCTGGCATGTACAGCCACCGGTACAAAGCGCGTGCATCTGCGGAACAGAGTGGCACGGCACGCTGCGCGGCGAGTGGGGCGCACCCATCCCCTGCCATGCACAACCAGAAAGAAGAGGAGGAAGAGCAGGAACGGGAGGGAAGAGGTGGTAGAAGAGGAGGACGCGAGGGAACACGAAGCCGAGAAACATGAAAAAGCAGAGCACTGAAGCAAAACGCCCATGATGCGCCCTACAGGTCCCTCGCTCCTCCAGCGCCAGCTCCTCCTCGGCACCCCTCGATCCTCCTACACCCTCGATCCTCGACCCTCCTCGACCCCCCTGGATCCTCGCAACTCCCCTCGATCCCCGTCGATCCTCCCCCCTAGATCCGTGACACTCCTCGATTCCCCCTCGATGCTCGCAACTCCCCTCGATCCCCGTCGATACTCCCCCCTAGATCCTTGACCCTCCTCGATCCCCCCTCGATCCTCGCAACTGCCCTCGATCCCCCGTCGATCCTCGCTGCTCCTCGAGTCTATCAGTAATCTCGCCATCGCTCGGACGTCCCTTCCCTGTGCATTTTTCGGCTTCGTGCGTGTTTTGTTGGCCCGATGGTCGAGGATGCTCCTCGATGGCCCCAGCCGAGAAAAAATGCACACGTCCGAGCGATGCCAAGTAGGGCGGTCTGGGAGGCTCGGAGCCTGGCCCACCCAGTCTGGGCTGCTCTGCGCCCACTTCTCGTCGCACACCTGCCACGAGGAACCCCCTCGCTGCGAGCGCCAGTCCAGTCCTCCCTCCCCCGCCCCTCGGGCGGGGGGGGGAGGAGGGACAGGGAGCACCAGAGGGTGAGAGGGGGCCTCTTCCTCCCCCTGCTCCTCCTCCTCCTCCCCCCTTCCCCTCCTGCTCCTCCTTATCTCCTTCCCTCCCTCCTTCCCGCCCTCCCTCCCTCGCTCCCTCCCTCCCTCCACCTCTACCGCCACCTCCTCCTCCTCCTCCTCCTCCTCCTCCTCGTCCTCGTCCTCGTCCTCCTCCTCTCGACTCACCCCCCGCGCGGGCAGGCAGTGGGAATGAGGGGAGGGAAGACTGGACTCGTGGTCGCAACCAGGGTCCCTGAGCACCTGGTGGTTGCCGGCGACCATGTAGCGGTCCTTGCGAAGCGGCCGAAGAATAGCCCGCCCACCCTCTCAAGACTAAAGCCGGACCTAGGACAGAAGAACGTCCTTCCAGAACAGGAGACCATCCGCTGGCCATGACACGCCAAACCACAAGATCACTCGAGGGTACCCTCCTCCGGGAATCACGAGAACATCCAACCAACACGAAGAATATTAGAGTACCCTCCCCGAACCGACCTCGATCTTACATCGGCGGCGAGCGAGGGAAGGAAGTGAAGGCCTTCTCAGAAGGCGGCGGGACTTCTCAGAAGCCCTCGCGCTTTCCGAGAAGCTGTCTGCGTCTTCGGGGAAGGCTCAGGAAACTTCTCTCAAGGCCAGGGGGCTTCCGAACCTCCAGCGAAGGCCCTCTTCTCGCTTCCCCCCCTCGCTCGCCGCCGACATCAGGGCAGCCTCCCCGAACCGACCTCGATCCCATAGCCTGGTGCGACCGCAGGGGTGAGGTGCTGGAGGGTCGGGCGTTGGCAGAACCGAGTTTCGTGGAACCTGGTTGAGTGATGTGTACCGGGGGGGGGCGCTCCCCCCGCCCCGTTCCGCCAACCGGAACTGCCGCCGCCCGAAAAACACCAGTCACGGCAAGCCTGGTTTAGTGAATCTGGCCACTCGCCATCGCTCGGACGTCCCTTCCCTGTGCATTTTTCGGCTTCGTGCGTGTTTTGTTGGCCCGATGGTCGAGGATGCTCCTCGATGGCCCCAGCCGAGAAAAAAATGCACGCGTCCGAGCGATGCCAAGGCCAATTGAGGGGCCCCAGGGCCCTACCACTAACACCGTTTTCAATGATGTTTTACCACGCTTATTTAATATATGATTAAATAACGCATGTTTTGGAAATGTTCGATCTAAATCATTATTAATGACCCGGGGTCCTGGCTATACCCGAGTGGGGGGGGGACGGGCAGAGAGAGAGAGAGAGAGGCCTGGCCGGCGGCGCGCCCAGTGCGGAAGGCGGAGGGCGCGGGCCTCCCCTGCAGGACTCCGCAGGCGCCCGATGCCTCGGAGAGGGATGACGCGGTGCCCTGCCGTTTTTAAGACATGCTCCGCGTGCGGATCATGCATTAAACATGCAGGGATTTAGCATTAAAACCAACGATGAGTTCATGCAGACATGTATTCACATTCATTTATCATGTATGAAAATCCAATAGATCTAAACATCCTATGCGTTAAAAACTGCCCTGTGCGGGGAGGCCGGGATTTCTTAAAATATAGGATGTTTAATACATTATTCATTCATGCATAGATTTATGCATGAACTCATCTTGGTGTTGAATGCTAAATCCATGGATTTGTAATACATGATCCGCACGCGGAGCATGCATTAAAAACGGCACTGTATGTTCATGGCCATGTTTCCCGAATGGCACTTCGCTACAAGGCTCTACTGGAAATTCGCCGGCCCGACGGGCCAGAGGCGTGCCAAGATCTCCGGCACCTGTTTCACAATGTTCTGCTACGCGCGCGCGCGGCGGCCCCTGGCGGTCCCCAGACTAAGAGTACCCGGGCCGATCCCCGGGCGATCCCCAGCCAGGTCCCCCAGAAAGCTCCAGTTGGGCGTGGCTTAATGGGGGGGTCATAAACGGGGGGGTCAGAAACGGTCCTCTTTCGTGCCCCTTTCGGGCCCCTCCAGAGCCCCGGGGGGCTCGTTGAGGCACCGTTTGGGTACCTCTTCGGACCACCCTCGCCACCCCCCCATTTACGACCCCCCCATTTACGCAACGCCCAATCCAGGGGAGGCCGGCAACACTCGGCCGATCCCCGGGCGATCCCCGGCCAAGTCCCCCAGAAAGCTCCAGGGGAGGGCAATTTTCCGACACCCCTCACGGAGGATCCTGGCTTCCCAGGGGGGAGCCGCAATCGACCACCCCTCCTCTCGCCCCCACGAGCTTCCCAAGAGGCTCCCAACTTCGCGCTTCGCGCTGCGCGAAGCGCGAAGCGCGAATAACTTCGCGCTCTCGCGCCGCCCTCCCAAAGGGAGAATAGGAGGACGAGGAGGAGGGGGAGAAGGAACGAGGACCGCGAAGCGCGAAGCGCGAATAACTTCGCGCCCTCGAGGGAGCCCTTGGCTTCCCAAGAGGCTCCAGGGGAGGCCGGCGACACTCGGGGCCGGAAGCGCTGCGGACGGCGCGGCCGCGGGCAGGGGCAAGAAGTCGCGCCCGCAAGGGGCCCCCGCAGCACACAAAGCACACGCGCGCGCGCACGGGGAGAGCCCGCGCCCCGACCAGGCGGGGGGGCTCGAGGCGAGGCGCGCTCGCTCGGCAGGGCCACGCCCCGGGCAGAGGATCCAAGGGGAGCCCGACTCCAGCACTGTGGAACACATCTGTGCGCTCTCTCTCTCTCTCTCTTTCTGTCTCTCGTTGTCTCATTCTCTCTCCCCCTCTCTAATATATATATATATACACATAATGTATGTATGTGTATATATATGTACATATATGTATATGTATATGTATATATATATATATAGATACATATATATATATATAATCCAGAGCCGCAGAAGGCTTCTCAGACGGCCAGCAGGCTTCTGGGAGGCCCAGCCGCCTTCCGAGAGGGCCTGCCCCTTCTCGCCTTCCCCCCTGGCGCGCCGCCGAACTGCGGCAGCCGCAGCCGTGCCCTGGGACTTGGGAGCGAAGACGTGATTCCTGTCAATCACGTTACCCCTGGGACTTCGGGGCACAGGCATAAGTATGCGGAGTCACGGCGCTGCAAATCGGACGAAAGAGGAGGGCGAGGAGACGGAGGAGGAGGACTACCCCACACCGGTGATGTATGCATGGATCAACTTGCTTGGAAGCGATGTGATGTGCCCTCTGTTGCACGATCGGTCCCAAGGGATGGGTTACGAACGCCTGAATCGAAGCAATCCCACACCCTCGAAAACATGTCAGGAGATACAGGCACGGTGCGCACCACTTGCGCTCAGAGAGGGGGGACCTGCTGGATCGAGCGTCGGCGCATGCTGTTCTCCCACTCCACTCCCGATCTGCTGGTCGTTCACCGTGCTAGCCTCATGCTGTCTCGCCTCTTCCTCCTCCGCCAACGTCATCCCCTCCGAACTACCCCCTCCTCCTGCTCGTCCCCCACTCTGCCCCTCGCCTCACCCGCTCCTCTCCGCCCTCGCGCCCTCTTCCGCCCTTCTGGCCCTCTCCGCCTTCCCCTCCTCCTCCCCATCTGGCCTGACGTTCTCAACCACCGCGCCTGGCCACAACCGCGCCGTCGAAGGCGGACTGGTGTGCTGCCAACACGCTACAATATGCCCCCCTGTAATCGCCAGCACGCCACGTACATAAGGAGGAGCGGAGCAGGAGGGACGCAAAGCAGATCAGGAGGAACCGCACAAGCATAGATGTGTCGTGAGGAGGAAGAGGAAGAAGAGGAAACATACCAGGATGATGAATCCGAGACCAGTGAAGAAGACGAGGAATAAGAAATGGACAGTGATGAGGAAAGGGTGGAGGGGGAGAGGAAAGGTAAATAGAAGGCAAACTACGTGCACTCGCGCCAGATCTGGCATCATAATCCTCCCACCCATAGATTCCCATTGCACACATGTTTTTACACATCCGCCGACGCGTGTCATAGCCGACCTGGAACTTCAAAAAAACCCGATCATATTATTCGCAACCGGCAAAGGGGAGCTGCGTACATTGGAGGAGAGGGTGGCGGATGAGCAGGAGGAAAACGGGAATGAGGAAGGAGGACGAGAACGAACCACAGCAGCAGCTGGAGTGGAAGGAGCGGGAGCAGGAGGACCAGGGGAAGGCGGTGGAGGGGAAAGAAGGCGACCACGATAAGGAAGGACTCGGATCCAGAAAAGTGGCCCGCGCTGAGTGCCATTCTGAACGACGGGAGCAAATCGCCTATCATAAAATGAGGCCCACGGTGAAGCAGCAACGCCACTATGAAGGAACCGAGAATGTCTGGACTGTAAAAAAGGCGATTGGAAATACACGTTGTTTGAGCACTGTGCGTTGTCACTATAAACATTAACTACGGGTTTACACTGGTCCTGCTCCTCCTCCTCCTCCTCCTCCTCCTCCTCCTCGTCCTCGTCCTCGTCCTCGTCCTCGTCCTCGTCCTCCTCCTCCTCCTCGTCCTCGTCCTCGTCCTCGTCCTCCTCCTCCTCCTCCTCCTCCTCCTCCTCCTCCTCCTCCTCCTCCTCCTCAATCCACCTCATCCACCTCCTCCTCCTCCTCCTCCTCCTCCTCCTCCTCCTCCTCCTCCTCGCGCGCGCCGCCACCTCCTTCTCCGAGAGCAGCCTGGCTCCCCTCGGCGCGAGTCTCGGGTCTTTGACCGCTGCGCGGGAAGAGTGCCCGCGCGGCCCGGCGCGCCCGCGCCGGGTCGTCCCCCGGCGCGGCTGTGCAGAATGCCGGCCGCCGAGCTGGTACCGCACGTCGACAAAATGTTGCACCACTTTAGGCGAGCGCTGCAATGTGTACTTCAACACTTCGCCCACCCCCACCCCCAATGGGGGCGGGGGGGGGAGGCTCAGACGCAAGCGTTTCTTCTAAAACGGTGTCCGCTGTCTTGGGCACCAGGCGGTGCAACATTTTGTCGATGCACCGTAGGGTGGGTCTGGCTTGGCAGGGGTGCCGCGCGGGCAGGGAGCTTCGGGCCGGGCGAGAAGGGGGGGGATAGCAAAAGGGGGTTTGCGAATCAGCTCACGTAGCTGACTTTCCCGGCGCCTCCCGGCGCCAGAGGCGCCATTTGTATCGATGAATGGGCCCCTCGGTGGGGCCGAAACTGGCCGCATGCAGCAAATTTCGTAAACCCCCCTTTCCCAATCTCCCCCTTTCGTCCGGCCCGAGCTTGGCAGGCGCGGGCAGGGAGCTCCAGGCTCCAGGGGGAGGGAGGGGAGCCGTCGTTCGACAAACCCAGGAGCAGGAAATCGGCGGGGATCGTGCCAGAGCAGGGCGGCCTGCACGAGGACGGCCTGCGCCGTCGTCCCCCCCACGATGCGAGATTGTGCCTCGGATGGCTCCATCTATCCCGCGCCATCTTTTTGCGGGGGGGGGGGCATCATGGAAGGCCTGGCTTCTCCATGAATTCAAGCTCAGCTCAGAGCAGCCAGGACCTCTCGTGACCGATCCCCAGGCGTCCGCCCGCAGGGTTGCACCGGGCAGCCAGGACACTTTGCAGACCAGGACTCTGCCGGATCAAGCGGGAGAGAGCGAGTATTGGATGCTATCTCAACCCATGGCTTCAATTTTCTTGGGTGTGCAATTTTCTTGGGTGTGCTGGTGTCCTGGCTTGTCCGTGTCCCGTTTGCGCATCCCTGGTATCCGAACCGAAGGCGATCTCAGGGAAAGCGACAAGGAGGAAGGTTCTGGGTGCTGGGTGAGCGATTCGGTAGAAATGGATCGACCCTAACGAGGACGGAATGGCGCTCCTCCCTTCTGTAGCGCTTCCTGCAGGGCCCGCAATGGTGCTACTCCCCTCCTCCTCTTCTGGGGCCCGCAACGGTGCCCGCCCGTCTGCTTGTCCGTGATTGTCACTGCCGGGCCGCCGTCACGCCAGGCTTCCTCGCTGGGCGGCGCCCCCTCACCAAGGCGATGATGACGATCGACCCTAACGAGGACGGAGCAAAAACGACCGCACCGCTGTCCTGAGCGGTCGAGTCGAATGCGACTCGACGCGGCGCGGGGACGGCGCTCACCAGGCCGTGCATCACGCCCTGCCTGTCCCCCCACAGGGGGATGGTGGACGATCAGTAAAACGTACGAAACAAATGCTCGAAAGATGCCCACTAAATACTCAAAAATACCCAGACTACTCTTGGACAAGTTTGGGATATTCCCCCTGTAGAGGGACAGGCCCGACTTAACACTGCGATCTCTGTGCCCGAGCTGACAACCGATGCTGGCCAGAGCCTCGCAAAGACCACGACCAGCCGCGCTCCCCGCCCGGACTGGCCTCCTCGCCTCCCCGCACCTCTCCTCGCACCTCTCCCGCCTCCTCGCCTCCTCTCCCGCCTCCCCGCACCTCCCCTCGCACCTCTCCGCGCGACCCCTGGCCTCCTCGCCTCTCCTCTCCCGCCTCCCCGCACCTCCCCTCGCACCTCTCCCCTCGCACCTCTCTCCTCGCACCTCTCCTCGCCTCTCCTCCCGCCTCCGCGCGACCTCTCCGCGCGCGACCCCTCCGCGCGCGACCCCTGGCCTCCTCGCCCCCCTCCCGCCCCCCGCGCGCGCCCCGCGCCCGCCGGCGCGCACACCCGGCCGGCACCCCGGCGGTGCCCGGCCGCACGCCCGGGGCTCGGGAGGGGGGGGGCTCGCGGCGGCGCTCCCGCGCGGCCCAGATCCGCTCGGAGCCGCTCCCCATGGTCGGAGGCCTAGAAGTGGGCACCAACACCAACACAAGGGGCTGCCTCCACAGGGGGAAGACGATCCTCGATTTCGGTGTCGGTGGCAATGTTTCGGCCACCTTGGAAGCCAGAACATTACCACCATCACCGAGATCGGGATCTTCCTCCTCCGGTGGATGCACACCGCCGATATTGGTGTTGGTGTCAATCTCTAGGCCTGCGACCATGGACCCCTCGCCTCCTGGCCATCGCTCGGACGTCCATTCCCCGTGTTTTTGTTCGGCTTCGTGCGTGGCTTTCTTCGCCAGATGATCAAGGATGCTCCTCGATGGTCCTCGCCGAGGAAAAAACGCACACGTCCGAGCGATGCCAAGCCTCTGGAGGCGGACCCCCGTGGCGACGCCGTCGTCTCGGCTGGCCCTCCCGCGCGGCCCAGATCCTGACTACCTACCAGACCACCCCAACCCAACCCGAAGGCGCGAATTTCGGGTTGGGGGGGGGTAAGGTTTCCATACGTGTTTTTTCGATGTTCCGCGCCCCCCCCCCCCCCCTGGACATGGAGGGCAAATCGGAGCCTTCGGGTTGGGTCGGGGTGGCTTGGTGGGTGGTGAGATCCGCTGAGAGTCGCTCCCCATGTAACCAGCCTCGATCGTATCCCTATCCCTAAGATTAACAGGCCAAAAGTCGACGACGATCTGAGGGATGCGCCCTCAGAAACGGAGGGAAGCCCTAAGATCGGCATCGAGATGAGGCGATACCAATCATAGGGATAGGGATGTGTTCCAGGCTGGTGACCATGGACCCCTCGCCTCTGGAGGCGGATCCAGCCGTGGCGACGAGAAGCCCCCCGGGAGCCCCGAGCCGGACGGAAAGAAGCCGGGGAGGAGCGCCGTCGTCTCGGCTGGCCCTCTCCTCCGACAGGAGGGGATGGCGAAGAGGAGGGGCCACAGGAGGCTCACTTGCCCTTGTACTCCTCGATGATGGCCTTTATCTCCTTCGGAGGCGCTCTCCCACTGCAGTGCGAGCACTCTCCTCCCCCCTCCTCTCTCCTGCCTCCCCTCCCACGCCCGCTCATCGTACCTCCCGTCCTCCCTCTCGTTCCCTCGCCCCCACCCCCCCCCTCTCCCTCACCTCCATTCTCCTCATTATCCCCTCCCCCCCTCCCTCCCTCTCCCTCCACCCCCTCCCTCCCCCCCCTCTCCCCCCTCCACCCTCCCTCCCTCCCTCTCTCTACAATTACTCAATATGAATACTACTCTCCCTCCTCTCCTGATGGCGTGCTGGGAGTGGCCGACCCCCCCCCCGCATACTGTTTTTTTACACGCAGGATTCCCGGGAGTTGGGTTTTCGCCTGCGTTTTTTTCAAAATGCTGCTCTCGCTGAGGCGCCGGCCTCATTTCTGCTCCCGAATCGTTCCGAATCGTGCTCCCGCTGCAGCGTGGGCCTCATTTTCGGATCGGTGTTTGGCCTCCGTCGTTCAGGATGGCGTTCTCGCCCCAGCGCGGGCCTCTTTCTCGCGCGCCCATCCGCCCGCCACCACCGCGCCGCACCACCACCACCACCACCACCACCATCACCACCACCACCACCACCACCACCACCACCACCACCACCACAACCACCAGCAGCACCAGCAGCACCAGCAGCACCAGCAGCACCAGCAGCACCAGCACAACCACAACCACGCACACACGCACGCACGCACGCACGCGCACCACCACCCACTACGCACGCGCGCGCGGAGCCACAGGTCCGCTACGACACGCGTCCGCGGATAGAGAAAATCAACGCCATGGTAAGGGATGGGAGGGAGGGGTAGGACGTCAGATATGACGCGAGCGCACCTAGCTTGCCATCCTCCCCCTCTCCCTCCCCCTTCTGCTACTTCTCATCATCCCTCCCCTCCCCTTGAACATTCCCGTCTCCTCCTCTATCGTCCGCCTCCTGCTCCACCCTGCTAGAAAACATATAGCCTCAGTGGTCACAGCGTGAAGGCGCCTTTCGAGTTTGGGCGGGGCCAGAACAGGGGGCAGATGGCAGAGTAACACAGCAGGACGCGTGCGCAACAAACACTTGTTTGCCCGCAACGCTAACGATCGCTAAAGCGTTCGAGAGCTCGGACGTGCGCGCAAAACACACCACGGGCAGAAAAAACAGACAGGCGCACTGCTCGCTGGCATAATTGGGCACCGATACCGCTACTCCACTCCACGGACCTCTCCTGGGGTGCATCCTGGCCAGAATCTCGAGGAGCTTCCAAACGTCGCGACGAGGACTCTTCAGGACAAGAAGCGGTATCGGTATATGTTCTTCCCTTGAATAACCACAGCCCGTAGCTCCTGGGAGAAGCTTTCGGCTCCAGAACATCAGCGCCGTCGTCGTCGTCGTCGTCGTTGTCTCGTCGTCGTCGACGTCGTCGCCGTCGTCGCCGTCGTCGTCGTCGTCGTCGTCGTGGTGGTGGTGGTGGTGGTGGTGGTGGTGGTGGTGGTGGTGGTGGTGGTGGTGGTGGTGATGGTGGTGGTGGTGGTGGTGGTGGTGGTGGTGGTGGTGGTGGTGGTGGTGGTGGTGGGGTGGTGGTGGTGGTGGTGGTGGTGGTGGTGGTGGTGGTGGTGGTGTGGCGGTGGTGGTGATGGTGGTGGTGGTGGTGGTGGTGGTGGTGGTGGTCGTCATCCTTAGGACGTCACGCCATTCGCAGTATTTGGGTCGCGGGCGGCCACGAATGGGGCGTCCAAGAGGGGGGGGGGGCGCAAATCATGGCCGGCGGCATGTGCGCAGCCCATGGGGGGGCCAGGGACGTCACGAAAGAAGAAGAGGCGCCACGACATCTGAGGGCATATCATGGCCCACGCCATGCTATTCTCCCCCCCCCCCTAGTCATCACCCCTCCCTGGCCGCCCCCGACATTCGCAGCCTCTGGGGGACGGGGCGTCCCCGCAACGAAGGCGCGGCCGGGCCAGTCCCCCGACGCCAGCCCCTCGGGAGCAGCACGTCTCTGAGATGTGCGGGGGCGCGCTGCGGAGCCCGCGAGGAGGCCGGTTCGGGGGGAGGAGGAGGAGGAGGAGGAGGAGGAGGAGGAGGAGGAGGAGGAGGAGGAGGAAGAGGAGGAGGAGGAGTCGAGGAGGCCGGTCCAGACGAGGGGGCGGGGAGGCGCCGGGTGCGCTCGCGCCATGGCTGATGTCCTGAACTTGAGCGTGTCCTTCGAGGGCAAGTTCTGTTTCTGTGTTCAGGCCCAAGGCTCTGATGAAGGTCTGATTTGTGTCCGCGCTGGACCTCTGATGGAGCTCTGATTCAAGTCTGGGAAAGATGGGGGGGCGGGTTTAGGACCTGAACCCGCCCCTCCATGCTTTCCGTTCTCGGGGAGACGTAAGACTAGGGTACGGAGGCCTCGGGTTGGCCTGACGGGGCCATCGTGACAATGACGAGGCCCCGTCTGAAATTTGACGCGAGCTCCTGCTGCGGACATCCCACGAGAACTGGCCCCGTCAAAATCCAAGACGCGCTCGTCAAAAACTGTCAGCAAACCCTGAGTTCCGACTTAATCGAGTCTTACGTTTCCCCGACCTTCTCATTGCGCCGATCTGATCTGTTCTGTTCTCTATCCGCCAGCGCCTGTCGTAGTGGGCCTGGAATTCGGGAAAAGGCCCCATCGTGCTAGGCTCAGTCGGACAGGGGGAGCTGCGAACATTGGAGGAGGTGGCGGATGAGCAGGATGATGATCAGTAGAAAAAGGAGGAGCAGGATGAAGGAGGAGGACGATGACGAACAGCAGCAGCAGCAGCAGGATTTGGAGCGGAAGGAGCGGGATGAGCAGGAGGACCAGGAGAAGGCCGAGGAGGGGAAGGAAAGGGGGCGACAACGATGAGGATTCGGGCCCAGAAAAAAGGCCCGCGCTTGGGCGAGCGAGAGCGCCACTCCGAATGTCGGAAGCAGAGCACCGCTTCTGAAATGAGGACCTTGCCGCAGTGGGAGCGATATTTTGCGAGTATCGAAAAATGTTGATTGGAAAAGCACATACGGTAGGAGCGTTGGACAAGGAACCCTTAGATAAGGAGCCCAGGGTCTGGAAGCCGGTGGAACTCCAATCGTGGACCCGCTATGGATATCATCGCTGCCCTCATCAGATAAGGAAGCCTCCAGGGTCTGCAGCCTCCTGGGCATACTCCTTATCCAACGCCCCAGCCGTAAGAGAAACCTCGGACCAATCCTGTGCAAAAGACATACGCGGAGGAGGGCGCGCCACTCTCGGCACCTCTTCGGTGGAGAGAGGGGAATAGTATTCATACTGTGAGTTGCGAAAGAGGTGGACGAGGAGGAGGAGGAGGAGCATGAGCATGAGCATGATCATATGACAGAGTCACAGGTGCCACATAACTAACACATGCAACACATGCACCTTATAACACGCGTCTTGGGACGCCTGGATGCTTGCTCTGATTGGCTGAGGACCTGAGTTAGGCCACAGCCCTCGAGAGACACGCTCTAAGGGGTGAGCCTACGGAGGCATTGCTTACCCAATTTCAGGATCTGAATAGAACAAAAACTACCACAATCACGGCAATACCATAACTTGAATGGCCCGTGGAACTGCATATTATGGGATTCGTGAACCCCCCCCCCAGCTATATGGAGGGGGGCGTTGGGAGGTTTGAGCCACAATATTCCATTATGGCAGACAGGATGAAAACAAGGGGTCCTCCTCCAGTCGACCAGGGTAGAGACAGAGGCCGAGCCTCCACACCTTGAACACCCTCGCCCCGTATCATCCAGACAGTGGGAGGTGAAGAAGAGGGAGCAAGCAGCAGCAGCAGGAGGGACCAGGATAGGGGAGGACGATGGTTTTTCACGCGGAGCCTTCCCCTCCGCCGACATCGCATCCAGGGTGGCCCTGAGAACCCTCATCGTGACCAGCCTGGCCCGTCCCTCGTGAGGAGGAGGAGAGGAGGACGAGGACGAGGAGGAAGAGAAAGGAGGAGAGCCCTTGCAATCCAAGGGGGTCAGGATGAGGACGAGGAGGACGGAGTACGAGGACGAGGAGGACGAGGAAGAAGGAGGCGATCCGAGGGGCATCCGCCCCCGCGGCACGCAGCGCGACGCTCCTCAACACGGCGAGCCAGCCAGAGGGAAGGGATCCCCCCCAGGGCGGGCGGCTGAAGCCTCCGCGCGACCGACCGCCGCCGGCGCTCCCACTCGACGAGGCCCGGCGCCCCCCCCTCCCTTCCCGCGGGCTCCCTGCGACCCAAGAAAGAACTCTGCGCGAACCTCCGAGGAGTCACGCTCATGCTCTTGTATCCTTCTGGGCCTCCTCAGGAATCAGGACTGCGGATTGTGCCACCGAAGCGCCCGAGGCCCTTGAAACCCCTCCCTCCCAGCAGCGCTGGCGGGAGGGGCGCAACAAAATATTCTCTGAGCCTCCTCCTGCTCCTCCTGCTCCTGCTCCCGCTGCTCCTGCTACTCGTCGTCCTCCTGCTCCTCCCCCTCATCCGGATCCTGTCCCTGCGCCTGGTGCTCCTCCTGCTGCCCATGCGGCATCCGCGACCCCCACACCAGGCCTGTCCTATCGGCCTGGTGCCCACCAGGGGGCCCAGCGTGTGAGCGAGGGGCCTCTCCGACACCACACAGCCGAGGCCGTGGCACGCGGCAGCCTGCCGCTGCTCCTGCTGCTGCTGCTCCTCATCATCATCATTCTCCTACTATTCCTCTTCCTTCTCCTCATTCTGAGCGTTCATGCTCCTCCTCCTCCTCCTCCTCCTCCTACTCCTCCTCCACCTCCTCCACCTCCACCTCCTCCTCCTCCTCGTCCTCGTCGTCGTCGTCGTCGTCAGCATCAGCATCATCAGCATCAGCATCATCATCAGCATCATCAGCATCCTCATCATCATCACCACCATGATCATCACTTTCACCATCACCATCACCATCACCATGACCATCACCATGACCATCACCATCACCATCATCATCACCATCACCATTATGATCATCATCATCATCATCATCATCATCATCATCATCATCATCATCATCATCATCATCATCATCACCACCGCCACCACCACCACCATCACCATCATCATCAGCAGCAGCATCATCATCGTCATCATCATCATTATCATATCATCCTCATCCCCATCCTCATCGTCATCAGTATCCTCCTCCTCCTCATCATCATGATCGTCATCGTCATCAACAGCATCATCATCATAATCATCAGCACCAACATCAGCATCAGCATCATCAGCATCAGCATCATCAGCATCAGCATCATCTTCATCATCGTCTTCACCAGCATCATCATCCTCATCAGGCTTATCATTATCATCATCATCCTCATCATCATCCTCATTATCAGCTCATCCTAATCCTCATCACCACCACCAACATCATCAGCAGCATCCTCCTCCCAGTCGTCATCATCATGAGCATAATCAGCATCATCGTCATCATCAGCATCAGCATCATCGTCATAAGCAGCATCATCATCATCATCATCATCATCATCATCATCATCATCATCATCATCATCATCATCATCATCATCATGTTCAGCATGTTCATCATCATCGTCATCATCATACTTATCATCATCATCGTCATCCTCACTCTCATTCTCGTTATCATCCTCATCCTCCTCCTTAGCGTCGGGCTGGGCCTTCAGCAAGAGTGGCTGCAACCCCTGGCCCGCGGGCTTCACGAATGCGTTGAACACCTCCCGCACCGCCGGGGGCACGTCGCTGTTCATCTTCATTTCGACCTCGGCCCGGCCGATCCCTTATCCTCCTCCTCCTCCTCCTCCTCCTCCTCCTCCTCCTCACGCCTCCTCCTCCTCCCTCCTCCTCCTCCTCCTCCTCCTCCTCCTCCTCCTCCTCCTCCTCCTCCCTCCTCCTCCTCCTCTCCTCCTCCATCCCTTCCTCCTCCACCTTCTCATCCTCCTCATCCATCGTCCTCCTCCTCCTCCTCCTCCTCCTCCTCCTCCTCCTCCTCCTCCTCCTCCTCCTCCTCCTCCCCCTCCTCCTCCTCCATCCTCCTCCTCCTCCTCCTCCATCCTTTTCCTCCACCTCCTGCTCCTCCAGCCCTGCTCCTGCTCCTCCTCCCCCTCCTCCTCCTCCTCCTCCTCCTCCTCCCTCCTCCTCCTCCTCTTCCTCAATGTTCCTCCTTATCCTCCTCCTGATCCTTCCCCTCCTTCCCCTCCGCCTCCTCCTCCTCCTCCTCCTCCTCCTCCTCCTCCTCATCATCATCATCATCATCATCACCATCACCATCACCATCATCCTCATCCTCATCCTCATCATCATCACCACCACCACCACCACCATCGTCATCATCATCATCATCACCATCACCATCACCATCACCATCATCATCATCATCATCATCATCATCATCAGCATCTGCATCAGCATCAGCATCAGCATCATCATCATCATCACCATCACCATCACCATCATCATCACCATCATCATCATCCTCAATCATCATCATCCTCAATAATCATCATCATCATCATCATCATCATCATCAGCATCATCATCATCATCATCATCATCATCATTATCATCATCAGCAGCATCATCATCGTCATCATCATCAACACCATCATCCATCCATCATTCGGCTCTTCTTAAGATCAGGGAGCATGGCTTTGGCAGAATCACGAACAAGGCAGCACGAGCTTAAGCTGTCAGAGGTCCGCGCCGCTTCCTTTGCAGATGTCTTAGTGATGGCGCTCTCTTGGGGGCCCCATGGGCCGTCGTCTTGGTGGCCACGGAGGCCCAAGAGGCCAGAATCACCGAAAAAGCCTAGGTCACATACATGCTATACACACGCGTGCATGTAACCCACTCGGCTTTTCGGCATTGAGCGTGTTCAAGACGGCTCCAAGAGACCTCTAATCCGCCACCGTGCCCTTGGCACGAAGTGGCGTGCCCCAAGGCTCACAACTGTGCTGCTGCTGCTGCTGCCGCATGCGAGGTTCGAGCTTCTTGAGGGTCTGGACCCCCGGTCTCCCAGGCGCTCTCGGGCGCTTCCGGGGGGGTCCACGTGGGCCTCTGGAACGGTCCCCTCGCTCAGGAGGGCCCCCCAGGCAGGCCAAGAGAGCCCCAGACGGACCGCGAGGGCACAGAATCGCCAACGGATCGCTCCAAGGCGCCCAAGATGGCCTCCAAAACCGGCCCAAGAGGCCTCCGAGACGCCGAAGAAGCCTCCAGGGGTATTACGTGCGCGCACAGTCGTGCCCGCAGCATCGATTGGACCCGCAGGGGCGGGGTCGCAAGTGGCCGCAGAGGACTCCTCCTCTCCTCGGACGGGGGGGCTTCTGATTCTGACCTCGCACTCGTCGTCGCAGTTGACCTCGGTAAAACTCAGCCGGCCCTGGCGGCGCCGCGCGCGTCGCACCGCTGGCCGCGCCTGTCCTCATCACCATCACCCCTTCCTCGCCCCGCTTCGCCCTGCCGAGAGCCTGCTGGTGCCTGGCGACGCAGGAGGGAGGAGGAGGAGGAGGAGAAGGAGGAGGAGGAGGAGGATGAGGAGGACGAGAACGAGGACGAGGAGGAGAGGGAGGAGGAGAGGAAGGAGGAGGAGGAGGAGGAGGAGGAGGAGGAGGAGGAGGAGGAGGAGGAGGAGGAGGAGGAGGAGAGGAAGGAGGAGGAGGAGGAGGAGGAGGAGGAAGGAGAGGAGGAGAGGAGGAGAGGAGGGAGGAGGAGGAGAGGAGGAGGAGGAGGAGGGAGGAGAGGAGGAGGAGGAGGAGGAGAGGAGAGGAGGAGGAGGAAGGAGGAGGAGGATGAGGAGGAGGAGGAGGAGGAGGAGGAGGAGGAGGAGGAGAGGAGGAGGAGGAGGAGGAGGAGGAGGAGGAGGAGGAGGAGGAGGAGGAGGGAGACGAGGACGAGGAGGAGGAGGAGGAGGAGGAGGTCTCGCAGGCATGCGTCGGTTCGGACGAGAGGGGTAGCCAAGCGCGGCTACGCGAACCGGCTCGCGCAGCTGCTCTCCCGGGAGCCCGCCGGCGCAGGGAGGCCGGCGCCTGTGCCTCGAGGCACGGCGCCCGACGGCGGGGCCGAAAGCTGCTGCAGGCACCTGGGGGTCTCTCTCTCGACGATGGCGACGCCGACGACGCCGACGACGACGACGACGACAACGACGACGGTGGCGTCACCTGGGGGTCTCTCCCCCCCTCGTCTCCCCCTTTGCTTCTGTTCGTGGCGCGCGTGCCAAGCCCCGTGAGGTGCACGCTTCAAGAACGTGAGGCTACAGCGCTACTCCGGAAACTGATATGCGAAGCGGAGGGAGGAAGCGGGAGGAAGCAGGAGGGAGGCAGGAAAGTCTCTAAGCCCTCGTCGAGTGCCACTGCTTCGGCCTCGAAATCGCTTTGCTTTTCACCTCTTTCGATCCGACCTGAATGTGTGATGCGAGCGTCCGCGGCGTCTGCCTGTGAGCGCCCCTACCGCACTCCCTTTTGCAACTGAAGTTGCCGGGAGCGGCGTCCTAGTCACGTCCGCTGATGCGGAGGGTGCAAGTGAATTGGGGCCTACAGTCGAGGCGTTGACCTAAGGAACCCTAAATAACAAACGAGGCCCCTTTTTCCCATCAGTGAAGGTTCGATTTCCCATCGAAAACCTGAGGAAAACCTAGGGCAAGCTGTGAAACAATCAGGAACACGGAGCCCCTCCCCAACGAAAAGGGTTCCTTCTTCAGGGCCCCGACTGTATGCCGCTTCAGTGCGGGGGATGGAATGACACGGCGTGGACACCTCTCCGCCCTCCTGGGAGAGCGAGCCGATGGCGTCGCCACCTCTCCGTGCCGATGGGGCGGCCCCCGGCACGTGCGCGGGCCCTGCTTCAGGAGCTCATGCCTCGGGAGCGGTCAAGAGGGGGGTGTCCAAGAGGGGGGGGTGCAAATCATGACCAGCGGCATGTGCGCGGCCCAGCCGGGGGGCCAGGGACGTAAACAAGAATAGGCGCCATGAAATCTGGGGAAATATCATGGCCCACGCCATGATATCCACCCCCCCCTAGTCATCCCCCCCCCTCTTTTCCGCCCCCGAATGCCCAACAAGGAGGAACACGCTGTCACAGTATGGCTGGTTGACGATGTTTGTGCAAGCGTGTGGAAATTCGTCAAGGACGGCCAGTGAAGCCGAAGACTCCGGCGACAGCAAGGTGTTCAACTGTGGCGATGAGCTGTCCTTAGATTCGCACCGGAAGACGCCTCGCTACTGGACGGCTGGGAAAAGCCGAAACACCAGCAATCCTCGAAGTCCAGCAGCCCTCTAGGCGGAGGTGATGCACGGCGTTGCCTCTCCAACCCGCATTCTTCCCCTTCAGGAAAGGGTCTACCCCTCCCCATCCCCCCCCCCCTGGACCTGGACGGGAGATTCGGCGAGGCGTTGGAGTGTCCAAGATGGCCTCGGCGAAAAAACTAACATCATCGACTCCCCAAACAATGCTTGCACCCAAGGGGCTTGTAGTTCAACTCTACGGAACTGGGCCGGCGTGGCGGTCTGGCGGCTGTTGTCGCCGTCGAAGCCCCGCCGCCGACTCGTCGCCGCCTATCGTTTGGGCCGGTGTGGCGGTTTGGCGGCTATGTTGTCGCAGTCGCCGTCCCTTCGCCGCCTCGTCCCGCCCGTCGTCTTGGAAGGCGTGGCTGTCTGGTGGTTATTTTGTCGCCGTCGCCGCCCCGTCGCCGCCTCGTCGCCGCCCGTCTCCGCCGCTGGAGTCTTTTGGGGATCTACTACCCCCCCCAGGGCGGGATTATCCGTTCACCCTGGGATTCCGCCCCATCGTTCATCCGAAATGTGAGTTCGTGCCACACCAGCCAGGCGAGGATCGACTGGCCCCCTCATCCATTGGAAAAAACTATGCGCGCATACGCGCTGTTTAAAATCAGCCATGCTCGAAACCCCCCCGTAACAGAAAAAAACAAATTCATACGCACGCGCGTCGTCGCGCGCACGTGCAAAAATCTTCCAAAAAACGTTGGTTTCGCAAGGATGTCATGATCGAATGCCCCGAGCACCTGTGAATTTTGTGGCTTACCAACATGATGTTTCCAAGAAGGTGCGCGCGCTGTGGCGAATTATCCAAAACATCGCAAGCTTTCAACACCCGCATCAAATACGACCAAACTGGCCTCACGCGCGCGTGTCGAAATCATTCGGCCGCCCTTGCGCGTGCGCTGGCTGGGCAGGATACGAGCCCTGTCAAATAATACCACGCGGACCACTCGCGCCCGTCGGCCGCGCGCGCATGTCGAAATCCTTACAAACTTTTCCGCGCCAGCACGTGGACACCATCATCGTCGTCGGCGTGATCAGCAGCGGTGCCGTCATTGGCATTGCTGTTGTTATCTTTATCGTCGCCACCAGCATCTCCAAAATCAATCATCGTGTCTGCCGCTGTCGACGTCGCCATGGTACCGCGCGCGCCCGAACCGCCGATTCGCATTGAAGCGCCCGCGAGTCAACGCGGCTTGCGAGACGCGCTGGGAAAGGCCCCAGCAGTCATCAGCGCCACCGCGGCCGCGTCGGTCGCGGCAGACCACTTGGCCACTCTGCGCGCGAGCCTGGCGCCAGCGTGGCCGCGGCGACCCGCCAGCCAGCGTCAAGCAGTCATCGCAATCGCCATCGCCGCCGCAAGGGTTTTGTAAACCAAGTTGCGGGTGGGTGGGCGGGGCGATAGCGCGAGCAGCGTGAACCCTCTGTTGCAAGCAGGAATTGGGATCCACCACCACCCCGAGGCCAAAATTATCCACGCCCCCTGGGGATGTACACTTTACGTGCGATTCTTGGAAGGTGAACGTGGGGGTCGGGTACAGGGTCCAGGAGATGGTGTCTTTATGGGCCATGAATGGGCGATGCGTCTTCGATTACTGTGTTCGGCGGGGGTGCGAATTGAAGCTCCCCGCCTGCGCCCGTGCGCGAAACTTGAAGGGAAACGAAGCAAGGGGGCGGGGGGCTCGGGAAAGGCGACGAAGGCAACGTGCGCTGAGGGCGCAAAAAGACAAGGTTGAAATAAACGAAAGCGGTGAGGTGAGTGTCAAAATCTGCCCAGCCAATCTGACACGCGGAACACTGCGCCTCAGGTCTGGGGATCTTGAAGGCCAGGGCAAAATGTGAATTCGCATTGTGGGGAAAAGTAAAATGTGAATTCACATTTTGGGAAAAAAAGGAAAATGTGAATTCACATTTTGGAATTTTGTGTAGGAATCTTTATGAGGGGACCAGAATGTGAATTCACATTTTCGGAAAAAAGGAGAATTTGAATTCACATTTGGGAGCAAGGAAAATGTGAATTCACATTTTTGGAGAGTCGCGGGACCCATTACAAATCTGTCTTTGGGGTCGATCGTTCATCGTTTGGGAGCATGCACGATCATCAATCGTACACACTCCACTTCGCAACGCCACGCGCAGAATGCAAGAACGCCCGCACGCATGAACGATAATGGATGGACGGCGCGTGCGCCCACGCGGGCAACGCGCGGGCACGAACGACTGGCCCTCCATGACCGCCAACATTGGATGCCAATCTTTCCCGATCACATACATGAGCGATACGTTGAGCATACATGGGCCATTCAGCCCCAATTGAAGACCCCCTGTTGCAGACCCCCTCTTTCGCCCACCAAGATTCTGCCCCATCGTTCATCCGAAATTCGAAATCAAATGCCCCCAGCCAGACCAGCCTCGACCCCCCTTCAATGGGTGCCATGCACGCGGACTTCGTCATCTTCAAACATATGTTTAACAAGACTCTCTTGCAACCAGCGAGGCGAAGTGCACGCGCCTTGGAAAACCTGGGGTTCCACGGGGATTTCGAAATCGGGGGCCCCGAAAACATAAAACCTCTGACTTCGCAACAGGAATGTTCAAAAAAGCCTGCGCTTGCGCTGTTTCGAAAGCGTTCGCCAACAACTTCTACTAAACGCAATCCTGGCGCGCCCAGGTCGACAGCGCTCGAAAGCCCCCGCGCGCGGGTCGTCGCCAGAACCCATCAACAAACACAAACGCAAGTACATGAACAATGAACATGAGGACGAGACGCGCTCGCGCGCGAGAATCATTCAAAAACTGCGGACCCCGCAGGGATTTCGAAATCGATCGCCCCGAAAACATAAGAAAACGATGGCTGCGCAGCGGGAGTGGTAAAAACCTGCCCCCGCGCTCTTGTGTGTGTGTTTTTTTGGCTAGGGGGACAATTCTGTTGGTTCAACGTGCCCATCGCATGCAAACAAACAAGCCTCTCGCGCGCGCACGTCGAAATGATTCGGGCGCCCTTGCGCGCTAAGGGGGGGGGGGGGGTCGCGCCCCCGTCGCGTAGTGCCGCGCGGGCCACTCGCGCGCGCCGACCGCGCGCGCATGTCGAAATCCTTCCAGGCAC